AAGGAATGGGAGTTTTTTCATGGACTTGAATAGGAGCAGGATTGAGCCCTAAATGCATATCATTGTAATTAATGGGACTTGAGTGCTTAAATGGGTGCCATTTGTGTCCAGTGCTGAGTATTCCAATAGACTGAGTGTTCCTTAAGGTGGGTGAGATCATATCTTTTATTGGACCAACTTCTGTTGGTAAGATAGACAAGTTTTCGAGCTACACAGAGCTCTTCTTCAGGTCGGGGAAAGGTACTAAGAGTGTCACAGCTAAATACAAGATTGAACAGATAGTTTAGCATAATTAGTTGCACATATTGTAAGGGACCATTCAAGCTGAATTGTCCTGCTAACACCCCTGTAGTTTTAGGACAAAAAGGGGGGTTAGTGGGTTACAGATTGTTGTATATAATAAACCATAAATCCAGTGTCCCTATTAAGACCATGATTTTTAGTGTCTAGCAAAGTTATGAATTTAAGCTCCCAGGCTCATCTTTTGAAAGTGTTGTGCAGATTTCCTTTGAGGATAAGGACTGATCGGTCAGATAAGGAGTTCCTTAAGGAGTTTATCAGAGGTTAATCACACCAGTAAGAATCACCCTTTGTTCTTTACCCTCAGTCCCCTTATTTAACAGCTGAATAACAGAGGCAAGATCAATTTTGTAGCAGTGAAAACAGCTCAATACATCATGGGTCCATCTAGAACTGTACTCATCCTTTTAACACAAAGGGACATAACCCCACCTCACCCCCACCTCTGTTCATGGGATAGATTTGATAGCATTATGTTTAATCTGAATGATCTGTTATTAACTGCATGTTTAAGACAACAGCTGAAGACTATATGAGGTTTAATCTGCATGATCTGTTGCTTGAGTAGATATTAATCAGTGGGCTGGAATGGAAAATAATATAGCTGTCCTTGTAGCCAGGTATTTCCTGGCAAGAAGATCTTTTTGGAAGGCTCTCACAGACACTACTGGCATCAAGCTGTGTTATATAGTTTCTGAGTTATCATGATGATCTTTATGGTTGACTTTGTTTATTTCCTTGAGACATCCAATGAGCTCCTCTTGGTGAAATCAGTTTTTTGAGGAGGGATGTTTGGTTTCTTTGTTATAACAATGCCAGCTTTCTAAATATTTGGGAAACAGGAGATTATATCCAAGTTCCAAGTGATTTCTCTTGAAGCTCAAGAGTCTTGCAAGAACCAGAAAGAGCCTGATAAAATAATCTATTCAAGAATTTGTCATGAACAGAAGGAGTCTCCCTGTAGCGTTAACCAAATGTTACAGAGAAGTGAAGTCTTTTGCCCTAAATTACTGTATAGTGTTACTATGTGTGTTAAACAGCTGCCATGCTCTACCTCGGAGTTGGTTGCACTTCAGAAGTGGGTGCAGTGATTCTCGTATTATGTTTTGCAAAGGGATCCTTTGGGAGAAAAGGCACTAGTTCAACACAAGATATTTATCTAAATATGAAGATTCCAGAATTGTCATTGTGTGTGTGTCACTGAAACCTAAAATGTTTGAGTCAGTGTGAAGTGATGGAAACAGCTACAAGCATGGCTATGAGTTTTTCTTGTTCAGACTATCACCAGGTTCAACCATCACTGGAATTCGTGGCCTCTTACTGTCTATTTTTTTGAGTATTCAGACATTTTGACTTCACAAATTACATTTGTGCAGTGTACAGCTACAGTAAGGCATGTACAGTAACTCCTCGCTTAACGTTGTAGTTATGTTCCTGAAAAATGCGACTTTAAGCAAAACAATGTTAAGCAAACACACACACACACACACACACACACAGTATAAGTTTTAAACAAACAATTTAATACTGTATACAGCAATGACGATTGTGAAGCTTGGTTGAGGTGGTGAAGTTAGAGGGTGGAAGAAGGTGGGATATTTCCCAGGGAATGCCTTACTACTAAATGATGAACTAGCAGTTGGCTGAGCCCTCAAGGGTTAACACGTTGTTAATGTAGCCTCACACTCTACAAGGCAGCACAAATGGAGGGGAGGGGAGACAGCATGGCAGACAGAGACACACACCCTGTGTGTGTGTGAGAGAGAGATGTGCATTGCCCCTTTAAGTACGCTAATCCCACTCTAAGTACATTGCCTTTTTAAGTAGATCAGCAAGTTGATACAGCAGCTGCTGTCAGCAAGCTCCCTCTGTCCTGAGCCCTGTAGTGTGTCCCTTCTGCTCTATGGAGATGGAGTAAGCGGGGGGCAGGGGGAGGGGGACACCCTGACATTACCCCCCTTCTTCTCCCCTCCATCCCCCCCCGCACAGCAAGCAGAAGGCTCCCGGGAGCAGCTCCAAGGCAGAGGGCAGGAGCAGCATATGGCTTGTGTGGGGGGAGGGACAGCTGAACTGCCGGCAATTGATAGCCTGCTGGGCAGCTACCACACAGGGAACTTAGGGGAGCAGGGAGCTGATGGAGGGCTGCCAGTCCACCCTGGTTCCAAGCCCCCACCACTAGCTCCAACAGGCTGCTCTTTCTGCAAGCAGTGGACAAAACAGGCAGCTGCCAAACAACATTATAAGGGAGCATTGCGCAACTTTAAACAAGCATGTTCTCTAATTGATCATCAACATAACAACATTAACCAGGATGACGTTAAGTGAGGAGTTACTGTATCTATGCCATGCCAAAAGTCCTAGTCCATTGTGAGATCAGAGGTAACTCAACCAATCACTGCCCTTACACTACAGCTAAGTTGCATCCAACAATTTGATTGGTTGTATAGGGAGACTGCACAGATGATGGATTAGTTGGCCCATTTGCCATAACCGTGCAACAGCACAGGCTTTTGGCCACTAATTATTAAATAACTCGTCAGACTTCAGGGATAGCTGCATGAAGTAAATGTCAATACAAAAATCAGTTATCGTCCAATTGTCTGATCAACAAAAAGTGTATTCAGCTCAGTGTCTGGTTTGTGGTACTTTTCTTCCTTTTTAACAAAGGCAGTGAGACTTTATCCAGGATCACCCAGAGTTCCTCCAGAGAAGTGCCAGTTATGCGGAGACTTTTCTCAATTCTGTCATCTCTCTTCTAGAGATAGGTCTGAACCAAAACCTTGGACCTACTTCCCCTCAAATTTTGGGTGAAGTCCAGATCTGAATCTGCTTCTCAAATTTATGGCTTGGACCCATCTCTACTCTCATCTGATGTTGGCAAAGGACTAGAAGATCCTTATAATGGACAGATGGAAAGAGCCCAAGGGTGAAATCCTGGCTTCAGTGATATCAGTGGCAATATTCTTATTGACTTAAATGGGCCATGATTTCACTCCACGTGTTTAAACTATCATCCTATGCAGCATTATCCTCTAATCCCAATTGCACCTCCAAGATGAGGTGTTACTGAAAGAGGTCATCATAAGATAATATCAAGAACCTATACAATAATTTAGTGCAGTGTGCAACGAAGGAAATACTCAGCAGACAGCAAGCCTTTAACAACTTTGAAGCATGTGCAAATGAAGTGCTTAACATTCAAGTACATATATATGTCCTGTCTCCAAAGAGCTTTTATTTAAGATGAGCACTAAAAATAGCGTACTGAAAGGGAATCTTAAACATACAGCCTCTTATTATAAATACTTTTTATTCTAACAAAGTTAGTGCAAGCCCATGAAACACCTCTTTTTTTTTTTATGAGGCGCTTTGTGGTCTGATGTATGGATGTTTAAATAGAACCAGCAACATTACATGTCCTCAGGAGGGCATCGTGAAGTCAAAATGTGCCTGTGGTGGCAGATGACTACACCAGAAATACCATGGGTAGAAGTTATTGCTATTGCCAAGTAGGCGACCCCAAGCTTATACCTGATTCCCATTCTGGCTAAAAGCTCAGTATAAGCTATAAAGAAATCACTGACATCTTCATGCTTTTACTGTCCCATTTCTATACTGTTTTTGACCAAAAGACTAAGACCAAATGCAAGCCAGGATTTTTGCTATTTGTCTGGCGCTAGAAGTCCCTTCATATGTACTCGAAATTTTCAGAAAGAAGAAATATAGGCTGCCGACATTTTTCTGGATCTATTTCTCCAGTAGTCATTTCTTCTGCGATTGGTCTCAGTGCTTATAATCCTCTTGAGTTGCATCTCCACCTCAGAAGGTGATAAGCTGGTTTTTTTTTATGATTTTTAGTGTCTTCAAAGGCAGAGTCTTCATATGATCTGATAAGTGCAATTCACTGATGCACCTGATCCAGAGGCTGAATGGTAAAGGACAAGGAAGTAGATAACTCAGCAGAAGAGGCAAGAGATCCCAACTGATGTTTTCCTTCTGTAAAAATCTGCTTTGGAGTGAATGATTAATCATTTATTTTAGAGAGATGCTCCTTGAAAGATATTTTAGAGGGTGGCCTCTTTGTCAGTGGTGTATAAAAAGAAGAAATGTCAATGTTTCCTGAGGTATCCTCTATCAAAGTCTCTATACCAGGCTCTCCTTTCCTTCCTTTAAATCTCTTCTGGTAAGCAGCTACCTTGATCTTTCTTTTTTCACAGCCAATTTGCTAATATAGAGGGTACAATGTTCAAAGATGAGAGGACAAAGATGAGAGGCTCAGAATAATGTTTCCTTGTATTTCACTAATGGAAATGTATTAGCTTCTCCTTCACCTTCACTCCAGACTTGAGCAAAGAATCTATATACAACAGAAAAACTTGCCCATCACCACAGATTCTGAGTGCCTTCCAGTAATGCATGACTATACATCTGTCATGTACTATTTGTTCTCTCATATTATTCCCAGGAGAAGTGTGTGCAATAGAGTATCTTGTTTTGGTAGCATTTTAGGTTTTTATTAAATATAGCAAGATTTATATTTGCAATTCCTCTGCCAAGACACAGTAACAATATGGGCCAAATTTTGTTCTCAGTTACACTGGTGTAATTCTGATGCAATTCCATTGAAGTCAATGAAGTTATAGGTGCAACTGAGATCAGAATCTGCTCCCATGTGTTTGAAAAGTCCTTTCAACTGAAAACAAAACACACGATGGAAGAATAATTGATGGAGGAAGGTTAAGCTTCTTCTACCAAAGTATTTCCACTGGAAATACAGAAAAGAGCTTATTTCAAGCCCTGCCAATGTGGATGACCAAGCTTTGACATGAAGTCACACATTACCCTTCTTTCACAGCTACATGGCCCTAGGTAAATAAGTGTAGCCAGAGGAACAATTTTTGAAGAACCATTTTTGAAGAGTGGAGCTCTAAATCATCTGTGTCTCTACTAATAATTATCAATTTTATTTAGCATTTTATAAAGCAAGGCACAAATGTACAAAAATTGTGTATTATTAAATCATCCCATTTTCATATATATATATATATCTATATATATCTACACAATGTCACAATATAAAATGTGCTACAACATTATAAATAGCACAATAGTAAGTTAAGACTAATCTTCGTATCAGCTTTAAAACCAGACCCTATATTTATCTGTGCTTCACCTGAAGGAACCGATTTATATGCATACACATGAAAAAAATCAAGCCACTGTCTTTTATTATTCCCACACTCACAGAGATCAAAATTTGTTGCTAACAAGATGCGGAAGGAGCAACAGGCAGTAGACCAGCACCCAGAGGAAAACAATGAAGTAAAATAACTCGGGTTGCTCTACATATGGAGGTTCAGGAGGTGGAATAGCATTCTCCGGAGCCTCTAAGTCTTTTTTCTTCCTGCAAAAATGGATGAGAGAGAAGTTGGGTTGGGGGAGGAAAACAACTGTAAATGTGCAGTGGATTGACTGAAGTTGTTGATGGAAAGATGGGCAGAACTATGAGGCAGTAGTTCAATTAATCTTACAGTCCAGCCAGCTAGAGAGCGAGTCAGAACTGTGAGGTACACAAGGGGGTTGTGCAGTATCACTCCTTAGGAGCCAATGCACACAACTGTTTTAAGCCTCTGACAACTTCGGGCTGATTCTCAAGTAGCGTCAATCAGTGCAACTCCCACTGAAGTCAATGGAGTTATGCCAATTTACATCAGTTGAGGTTCCACCCCTAACTGTAAACACCTATGAATATTGGACAGTGTTCAAATATGGATTTTTAATTGAAACAAAGCTAAGATTATAAAAAATTGTTAGTGATATTGGGTGTCCAACTTGAGACATCTTAAAGGGACTTCATTTTCACAGGGTGGACCCGCAGCACTTTTTGAAAATCAGATCCCATTCAGGTTTCTCAAGATGGGCACTCACAAATCACTAGTCACTTCTGAAAATGCTCTCTGAAAAGCGTTTCAAATACTTGGAGTAATGAAGCCATTTATTTTGAAAGTTCTTGCCCAGATGGGTTTTGAACAATTTAATTATACATCGATAGCATACATTGGAAATCTTTTCTCGAGGGTGGGTGGATTCTCTGATGCTATTTGGTCAAAGTTCTCAAAAGTCTGAAATGAAATTTAAGGACTAACAAGAGCAACTCCAACATTTGCAAACTGGGAGATTTCATTGGGTCCTGTAATGCAAAACCACCACCACCACTTGGCACTTATATAGAGCTTTCCTTCTTCAGAGTGCCATAATTAAATCAGGAGAGACCTCAGGAGCACATTTTAAATGACAAGAATGACCCGGGACAGCAAACCATCCACATTTTACTAATGTGAGCACAGCATCTTCTTCAGTGTGGTTCTTTTTAAATTTTAACTTTGAATAAATTTGCCAGTTTTTCAGTGAAATATATTCCTATGTTCTCTTTTGGTTTCGGAGTAACTCTGCAGATTTGCTTTCATTCTTCTTACTGAAAATCTGACTGGATATCAAAGGTAGTGAGTTTCATGCTAGAGTTTCGCAAACAGTCATAATGTGATACATTGTTTACACAGTTTTCAGAAAGTCTGGCACTATCAATCATGTAAATGAGAACTGGACACTCCTGTTTCCAATAGCATTTTTGCATGTTTTCCGTAATTAACTCCTGTGACCACTAATTAAGAGCCAAATTCTGGCTCCACTCAAGTCAATGCAAAACCCCCTTTGGCCTCAAGTAGAGGCCTTATCTACACTGTAGCTGCACTCCTGCAAAAAAAGTCCCAGGATAGACAAGGCCATGCACTGGCTGGAACAGTCTCCTAGGGGCCACTGGCCCAGGATCATTGGAGCACATCACATTTTAACTCCACCCTCTCCCATTCTTTCCTTGCCCTGGAATGTCCCCTCCACCAAGTGTGGTATGACGTTGGCTCATGGGGGAATCCTCAGCATCCCAATTAACACAGCTCTAAGTCTCCCTTGCTATGTGCAAAGAAGATCTAGCCAAGGCTGACAATCTGCCACTATATATCTATACCTACCAAATTTTGTACTTCAGACCTGTGAGGAGTTGTGCTGAATCCTATTCCATGCCAGTGCCTATAATTTTCTAAAGTATACATCAGTCTCAACCACTGCAGAATAATTCTGAATCTCACTTTAGAACACTTGTACAAGATTCTAGAAGTCTCGGATGCCATGAAAAAGACACTACCCACCTGATAATTAACAGATTTGTGCTTTCATTTATGTCTGTGTTCTTCTGTTTATTTTCACTAACGCGTTCCTAAAATTACATATTTATAAACAAAATTACAATGAAAAGAGTCAAATGGCTTTCAAACAAGCATCAAAGACAGCGACAAAGATAGCAGCTGATTTTAAGTTATGTACAAAAATCTTTCTAAATTTTACTCCAACAAAATAAGATCTGGCTTCTAATACATTCCCCTTGCATCCAACACCTCAGTCTGATATCAACAATAGTGAAACACAAGCAGCCACAGACATTGCTGCTTCCAATATTTTTTATTCACAGTGAGTGACATTCTCGTTCCTTGCATACACTTTGAGTAGCTGAGCTTTATGGATGAAGTGTGTGTGCATTAAATCCTGGCTCCACTGAAATTAATGCAAAATTCCTATTGACTTCAAGGTCGTCTGGATTTCACCTTGTGTTTGGGAGAGCCACAGTCCCAGCCCAAAGAGGTGGAATGCAGCTGCATCATCACCTATTGCCTCTCTGTGCCACATACATCAATCTAGGGCCCAGTGAGGTAATGAACACCTCTTGAGAGAACAAGACAAACCACGTCTACCACTGTGTTCTATTGTGCTATTAATTTCAGTGGCATAGGACTGAGCCATTAGTCAAGTGGCATGATGCAACAACCAGTGCAGGTTTGAGGCAATAAACCCAATCCTGTGAGGTACTTGTGAAATGCTCAGCAATTTGCAGGACGGGTCATAAATGAGGTGTTGGGAGGCTACTGCCCATAAAATACAGAGCATACATCATGTTCCTTGCTATTTACGAAAGCAGAAAGTGTCACTGTAGAATTAAAGAAAACTCACTATGCAAAGAATGGCAGCCTCAGTGAAATGTCAAGTCACTGACTGTTACAAAAATATTGAAATTACAATGTAGTCTCCAAATTATAGTTTGTATAATTGCATGATTAGACATTCCTTTGTGGATATACTTAATGACCCGAGGTTTGATTAAAAATTGTTTGTATTTTCCTTTAAAGCTTTTCTTTATTCCTAATATCTTAGTGCTTAAACCAGAAATTCTGTGACTTTCATTTAATCAACAGGTTTATATTGGGTTGTGTTTTAGCAATCACATATAATTAATTTTTATAATTAGTAGTCTACCACTTATGAGGCCTGTGATTTTAGGAGATAATTAAAGGTAATCAATGGGAAATACTAAATTTTTCCACATACTAACCTTTTCACTGGGATTAGGAATCCTTTTTCGGAGGTAAACACTGGAGTCGCTGTAGCTAACCCTGAAAAGTAAATAAAAATAAACTTTAAGTTCACAGTGCCAAATTTTCATAGGGGCTTTGACCTCAACAAATGCCCCTGCAATTTTATGTACATCATCTTCAAGATATGCAAAACGTCAAATACACATTCAAATTCATGTTTTGATGCATACAAAATGTTCAGGTGCAGTTTCAGAAGCTGCTTTGGAAAATCTGGCCATGATATGAAAAACTAGCAACATCCCACTTTGAATAATTTCTGAAAAGCAATATCTTGATAGGTGTTGAAGGTGCACAAACCCCATTAGATTGAAGTGAGACTATATCCCCAAACTGTTACCATTTGTGCTCTGTTTTCTTTTTTGAACTTATTTTATCATGAAAGGTATTAGAATGGTGGTTAATGTATAGGAAGCTTGGAGAAACTGAGTTCATGGGATTCAGGAAGTGAATTTCTATTGAGTTTGTTGCAGCTCTGATTAAACTCTTCACCAAAATGGCAGAAATCCATTTTTGTTCAAATATATTCCCTTGCAACTAAACTAATATTCAAAAGAAACAGGAGTGAGAGTTAAATGAATGTTTCAATCATATATGTATAGAAATAATATGGGACATCAACCATTAAAGTAGTACAGCGGACACAGTGTCAGTGGTTATCTCTCCACTATAAGTACAACACAGTTGTGTGTTAAACATGTTTAGGAATTTGTTTGGCTTTGCACATATAGACAAATCCAGTTGTGTTATGACAACGTCACATTGTTATTGGTTCCCCCAATATGTTTGTGACTGTAACATAGAGAAGCCCAGTGGGAATAACATGTACTAGCTAAATGAGATTTGTTCAGAAACATACTACTGAAAAACAGTTTCACATCAAGGCATATTGAAGACTCCATAAAAGTTAAATTACCTGGAAAACTCCTGATAATCAATGATTTCTTCTTTTTGTTTATCAGGTAACTGTGTAGTCCCAGTTTCTGAAGTCTGAAAGTTTTCTGCTTGGATCACATTTTTCCTTTTTTCCTTCCTTTTACTGCTTATTTCTGATCTCAACATTGCTGACGATATATCCTCCAGCTGGTCTACCATGACCTGTTTTAAAAAGAGATTTTCCATTAGACAATGACAAAAATAATACAGCTTTGCCATGACCCAGCTTTCAGATGTCTAATGTCTAGTCTGCGCTCCATAGCAGTGAATTGCATTTAATGCATAAAGATCTCACTGAACAGGATACAAAATAATAGTGCTTCTTAGTAAGCAAGTTGTTGCTTAAAGGTTGAATTCGGCACATAGGGCTACATCATGCCACCAGTTCTTAAATAAAACTCCTCGTTTCTTTCAAAGTGGAATTTTGTATAAGAAATAATGGCACAACATGGCCCCTGGAAAGGATCACTTCAGATTTTTCTAACACATCTCTGATAAAAGCAAACAGCCTGTACTCTGTAGTAGTTTTAGTTCAGATAATCTATATAAGAGTCTGTCTACACATGAAAGTTCTAGCAGAATATGGTAAAGTGTGAATTTAAATTGCTGTAGTTATACCAGTGTAACTCCCCAGGTGAACACTCTCATTACAGAATAAAAATGCCCCTTTCCAGTTTATCTTATGTCATTTTGGAAGGGGTTTAAGCTAAACTGAAAAAAGACACACTCTTATTCTGGAATAAGTGTGTCCACATAGTGAATTAGACTGGTATATCACTTTAACTATACCAGTGTAATTATAACAGTATAGCTGGTACAAACCTTAACTTTACTTGTGTGATTAGTCCCATTCAAGTTAATATGACTACTTGTGTGAGGAAAGTTACTCAAGTGTGTGAGTGTTTGCAGGTGCAGGCCCTTAGATTTATACTCTTTAGGGCAGGAATTGTCTTCACTTGTATGTTTTGTATAGCAAGCATGCCGTTGGCCCTTAACAGCAACAGCTGTAATACCTAGGAGCCATCCCCATGACAGAAGGTTTATAAGCCAATATGATCACAATGTCAGCTACACAGACACATTAGACAGTTATTTTAAATGCTAGTGGTATCCCATGAAAAAGTCTCATTTGGGTAGTAGTATTAGGGCTCATATTATATTGCCTGCAGCTGTTATGAGAACAACATTATCACACATGAGCCAATTCTGACATTCCATCCAGCAGAGGGCAGTGGTAAACAATGTTTTGGGAGAATAGACATAGCATATTTAATACAATTATTCAAAAATCTTGTAGCGAAAAATTAAGGTGTTGGGGACAACTTATACAAGCAAGTAGATGGCTGAAATTTAAAAATCAAGATGAGTACCTCAGGATTTTCTGGATTTGTAGAATCTTGAGAGTTTGTGGATATGCTGCTGTCTTCCTTGAGTTCCATATTCTTTCCTATTTGGGCAGCCTGTACTTTTTCAGAGGAAGACTTAGTGGGACTGCCAGGATCCACTTTCTCCTCTTCCATGTCCTCCACAACCATTTCTGCTGGAGAGACACTCAGGTTGGTTTGCAGACCTGGGTCCAGAATGCCTCCTTCATTGTTTAGTACCAATGGCTCCCCTTCATGCAAATAATTCATTGATAGCTCACCACAGATTTTGCTGTTTTCTGAAACATAAGAGGCAGGACTAGGCTTAGCAAAAGCTTCCAAAACTGCTGATATGGGAACGTTGTAATGTGGGTAGTAGAAAAGATCATGGGGAATTACAGAAACTTTCAAAGAATTTGGTGACATTTTAGCTGAAGATCCATCTTCACTATGACTATCGAGATTCTCAGGAATTTTTGTAACTGGTGGGGTTGAATTTTCAGATTTGCAAAACAAAGATATTTCCATTTGACCTTTGAGACCAGAATCCTTGGATGAACAATTGGTATCTTGTACTGTCTGAAAAACAGGTGATTGTTTTGGATGTTCATACCCGTCTGGAAGTTTTTTAGATATTTCTTCATCTAGTAAACACAAAACATATTTACGTATATCCTCTTCTTTGGAAGCATTTTCCTGTAGAAAAGTTGAAGTTATGGGTTCAGTGTTTTCTACTAGATTTGTTGGTTCATTTGTATGTGCATCTGAAGTTTGAGATAATGGGCTCAAAGAACAACTATCCCCTGTTTTATTGACTAGTGAGTCCTTAATTTCATTGTTGCATTCGGGAGACATCTTTATAGTAAATTCTTCTTTAGAAGATGATTCTGAATCAACTGTGTCAACAGCATTTTTCTGATCAGGCAAAATAGTTGCTGAAAGATCATCATTCTGTTTTAGTTGATCATCAGATATGCTCCTCTCATTCTGAATCAGTTTATCACTAAGAACTTCCCAAGAGGAACTGGATTCAAAACTGACAGATCCTGTAATCTGCAAAGAGGTAGGCCTCTGAGGTTCTTCTGCAGACAACAAAACCAATGACTCTTCTGAGACTCTCTGTGAATTATCTGATAGTGGTTGATTCAATCTGTCATTAAGTTCTTCATCTGCAATTTCTGACTGGAGTTCCTCGGGCAAATCACGGACACAAACCTTTGTAGGAGGAGAGTGGCTCCTTTCATGGTTAACAGTGTACATACGTTCTCCATTTTCATTCAATATCAAGATCTTGCCCTCTTGTTCTGAAGATGCATCTTTGATTTGGACATATGTGGCTTCAATTGGGATTTTCTTATCAGGATCTGAAAAATCTTCCTGTAAAGGATGATATAGCATTAAACAGTAATTTACATATCACTTTACATTTTCAAATTGCTATAGAGTCATTAATCAACCCTTACATCATCCTTTGAACTAGTCAAGTAATGATTGTCCCATTTTGTAAGTCAGGAAACTGAATTAACGAGGTTAAACTGTACAAGGCCACACTGCAAGTCCCTGACACAGCCAGATTAGAATTAGAAGATTCCAGTTACGGTGACCAGATGTTCCGATTTTAAAGGGACAGTCCCGATTTTTGGGTCTTTATCTTATATAGACTCCTATTACCCCCCACCCCCGTCCCGATTTTTCACATTTGCTGTCTGGTCACCCTAATCCCAGTTCTCAATCATTAATTCAATTCACCTCTCCATACGGCCTTTTTGGGGATACCTGCTTTATTAAATACAGAAACTGGAGTAAAATAAACCCAAGAGTCCACTAACTCTACTGTAGATCATATTGATCTGCTAGTCTGATTTTTTTATTTACAATCTGAGCTCAGCAGCTTATCTGAAAAGTAGGAAGAAATTTGAGATTTTTTCTCACTCATAAAATACAATTAACGAACCGTAAAAATTGATGCTGTAAAACACAAGTAGCTTGAATAATGCAACTGGAGGCTTTATTAAACATAAATCTGAAGAAAACTAGTAGCAAAGTAACTTGAATGTGTAAGAGCTGTGTTTTTAATCTGCTACTTGAGGAAGAACAAGAAAACTATCATCCTGCTTCTCCTGGGGAACAAACATCCTTGGAATCGCCTTTTCATACCAAAAAGGTGTAATTTAAATTAGTGATGACCAACCTCAAGAGGTCTGAGGTTCAGATAAGCCCTGAAATGTCTGGCTGCTTATACAGATTTAAATGTGATCTCTCCAGTTCCTACTTCGCTCTCATTCTCTTCAGCTCTTTGAATGTCTCCTATCCTTTAATTTCCCTTCCTCTGTTCCACAACAAACTCCTCTATCAGAGCCCCAGAAGGCCCTCTTCATCCCCGACATGAAGTTTGCTTATCTACGAGCTCTTTCCCATAAATCCCAAACTGGCCCCTTATCAAAGGTAAGGACTGTAGTGAAATCCTGGCCCCATTTAAGTCAATTGAAGTTTTTTCCACTGACTTCAGTGAGACCATGATTTCACCTCTGCGGTCTTGAATCTGGTACTATGTCTTTTGAACAACACCACCAATCTGAGCTCAAATCTCATGAGATTTGAAGACAGAAACCAGTCCAACAAAGTCTGCCAAATTGTCTGAAATCTGGAGGTAGATTTTAGCACAAGGAGAAAGCCTATTAAGATTCAGGGATGAGAGAGGAGTGGGGTAGTACTTATTTGAATTGATCCTAACTTTTGTAAAACAGCTTTGGGTTTAATGTTTGGATTGAGTCTTATTTTCTCCAAAGCAGTTTAATGGCCCCAACTTAAAACCTAAGGTATTGGATCAGACAAACACAACAGGAATCACTAAAATATGATGTGGCTTTTAAACCACTTGGAATAAATTGTTTGTAATAATTATGAAGGTAAAAATGAGAACACATATCTGACTTCCTCAAGGATGCCATGACAAATTATGAAAATACTACTTTATGAAAGAAAAGCGTACCCCTTCTATCTCTTGGAAATGCTCCAGAAATTGTGCCACATACGTCATAATTGATTGTTCATCAGGTGACTCAACCATTATATCTATGGAGAAAAAACACAAAGCACTTGGCCCTTAAATACTGAAAGAGGACTTGCACAGAAATGGGCCTTCAGAAGCATATCCTACTTTTATGATTCAAGGTAGAAACATTCTTATGAAAACCCAGACTTCTTATTTTATTTTATTTTTGAGGAGAGAAGGCAGAATCCTCTTAATCACTGATGGAACCCAGAGGATCCCTCAGTCTCCTCCACCTTAATACCATTCCCCCACTCCCCAAACTCAAACAAGTCCTAGGTCAGGGTCCCCTCCTTAGGATATTCCATCATAGCCGGACAGTGCTGCTCTTTCACCAGTTAGTGGTTTCGTTGTGTGACAGGCAGTGATTTGTTTCCAGTGGGAAAGCCAGGGATATCCTATGGCTCTAAATGGGTACCACTTGCATGCCGCCATCTGCCCACTTGCCATCAATTGCAGGATCGAGGCCCAACTTCAATTTAGGCTTAAATCAGACAGAGTAGGGACAGGTATTACAGAAGAAGTTTCATTTACTCAAGTAGAAAAAAAATGTGAGGCAAGGAAAATTTAAAACTAAATTTAAAACAATTCAAAATTGGCAAAAAGGAAAAAAAGGAATTTTAGAATAAGCAAGGACGATTTTAAAAAAGGAACAGAGAGAAAATAACTGGAGCTAGCAAGACATATGCCTACCATCCACCTGATCATTTTGCTCATGTACTGGATCCCTTTATCCCACCCTTTGCTCATTTTGTCTTTTTAGATTGTAAGTACTTTGGGACAAAGACTGCTTTTGTACAGTACCCAGCACAATGGGGACCCGATACTGACTGAAGCTAATGGGAACTATTGCAATAAAAATAAAGAGTCATAAATTTTTAATTATTTGACAGATGCACCAAGGAAGGCTGCTGTGAATGTGTTACCTTCTGGCTCCAGAAGTCTAGGAACACCAAGATTATCTTGTGCTATGCTGAAAGCATCCTCTAAGTTTTCCCGAGCGGATTTCTCCAAAGCTTGCTTCATGTCTACCAAGTTGGAATCTATTGCTTTTATTATAGCTAAGAAAGCAAGGCCACTCCGCCAACTGCTGGCAAAATCTTGAACTGCAACACCATATCTAAATTAAAAAACCACCAACAACAAATATATACTGTAGAAATATATATTAAAAATAACAACCACCATCCCACAACAAAAGCAGTGCCACCATCTAAAACTCCTGAACTATAAGTAAAGTTGTCTGGCTATAGTCATTACAGGAGAGAGTTTCTTGGCTCTAGGACAGTAGGAAACGCTTTTATACAATATAAAGATTCACTGTAAGTTGAGCCAACAGTTTGGCTACCAACTGAGATCAACCTGCTTATAGGAAGTAGTTAACAAAAACAAAACCCACAAGTACTTAGCAACTGTATTTAACATTTACAAAACCAAACGTCTGAGTAATTACTGATTTTACTTTGCTATAGCGTTTTCATGCCATAGTATGGGAAAGGGGCCAACACATAAGCATGTTAAAACCTATCATAAATGAGTCACATTTTGTGTACACTTGGCATTAAATATAGAAATTTATGCCATGCAGGATACAAAAAAATCCACATTTGACAACTTTTGCATTTTTACAAGAACGAAAATGAAAGACAGAGTTTTGAAAGTTTCATTGTTTAAAACGCTACAACCAAGTTTTCACTATCCTGGTACTTTGTTTTTTCTTTCTATGGAAGCTATAAAATGATTCATTTCCCAACCATTGATTTCCTTCCAAACAGTATTTCTGAGTGGCACTGAAAACACGATGGCCTTGTTTATTGTTTCCTTATTGGTATTCAACAGTTATCAATCGTACTGGTCAGCGTCATAGTTCTAGAAATAGGATTTATTCATTAACTTGTTCTTTCTTTGCTGTCTGGATTGGCAGCAGCTGATCACGAAACAACAGGCCAAATTCATCCCTGGTTTTTCAATTCCACTGGAGTTTCACCAGGGATGGATGTGGTCCAATGGAGAAGATTTTTAGAAATGACCTTTTAATTTTGCATTTGCAATGTGGGCCCAAGTGTTCTCTTGTGAACAGCAAAGATTTGTACATGTCAATCCCTAATACATTAATTTGGGTAAGTGAATTTTGACCCATATGCCTCATATAAACTCTGGCTTTTTCTTTACCATTTCTTTATGATTCAATGGGACTATATGAAAAATCCAGAAGAGACCTCTGCACTACAACAATTTTACAGTAACTAATATTTTTGGCCTAAACTACTTGACAGTGTCCCTGTCAGTAATGTTTCATTTAAAATCATAACCTGGTTTTATTACAAAGTATCTTGAGATGCAAAGGTCAGATTAAGATGCAAGTTTCACCAAAGTTTAAGGGAGTTTTTAATCCAGTGTTCCCATTGGAGCCCACCTCTTGTTGCGTAACACATGAAATAGCAGTTCTTGTGCAAGGACAGGTCTGATTCTTTAGAATGAACAGAGCAATCCCAAAGAGGAAAACAACAACAACAATTATCTTAAATGCAATCAAAATATTTTGATGTTAATTATTAGCAGATTCAAATCCTTAATTTATATCTAATCTTTTGATTTACACAAAACACTCAATAGATTGCAAATACCTCAGGACAGGGGATGAGTCTGCATCTGTGTCTTGCATACTGCCAAGCATACTGATTGCAGTTAACATATAATGCACAATATTGTGAAATCAGTGGTGGATTAGCCACTGGGCCAACAGGGGCCCCGGCCAATTCAGGGCCCCCTCAAAAATGGGCGCTCTTGCACTCTGTTCCCTTCAGCGCTCCAGCTGGGGAGCAGGGTTAGGACTTGGGGGCTTGCCCCGCTCCGCCCCTCCCCGCCGCTCCAGCCAGGGACTGGGGTCAGGACACGGGGACTTGCCCCGCTCCATCCCCCCGCCCGGTGCTCCTGAGGGGATGCGGAGTCAGGACGCAGGGCTTGCCCTGCTCCGCTCACCTGGTGCTCCTGCCAGGGAGCAGCAGGAGCGTTGGGCAGGCAGAGCGGGGCAAGTCCCCGCACCCCAACCCTGCTTCCTGGCTGGAGCATGGGGGAGATGCAGGGGGACTGCAGATAGAAGGGGTGGGGAGGGACCCCCACTTGCTCTGGCTCAGGGCCCCATAACATCCTAATCCGCCCCTGAGTGAAATAAGGAAGATACAGGACCTGATTTTCTGCCAGTTTAAGTCAGTCAATTTAAACCACCTGAGGATCTCACCCAAAATATGCAAAAATATAAATTGCTCACTCTAAACTTGAACACACTAAAACAAGGAAGATCCTACAGCATGTGTTATTGTCATAGATTCCTCCCATGGACTACAGAGGGAAATTAGTTTCAACCTCAGAAACAAACCCATTCGCAGCTGGTAAAATGGAGACTCTTCTAAGCTACCAAAAGGAGGTTGGCTTACTTTCTGGTTTTCCTTTGAACCCAGGTTAAAAGGGCTCTGATTGCTTTTCGCTGATCCTTCACTGAAAGAGACATGCTTCTCTCTATATTAGGAGTGCTCGGATGAGATGTGTCCGAGTCAGCCCCGCTGGGCCCAGATGACAGGCTGGAAGAGGAGGAGTTCCTATTGAGGTTGCCTGTCAGTTCTTTAATCTGTGTTGAAAAAGGTAAAACACAAGGTATTTCAATTTGATACAGACATTCAATCATCCATAAATCCTGCTTTCAAGAAAAGTAACTCTTTTGTTTCCTCTGAAATTCAGTTAACAGTCTAATTATAGGTCTGTGCATTAAAGAATTCAGCAACAACTACACCAACCAGAATAGACCTAACTAGCAGCACCCTTGTTGGCAGTCTCAACAGAGATGTCAAGACTGATGGGCAAGGATACATGCAGTGTTGTTATAGCCATGTCGGTATTAGAGAGACAAAGTGGGTGAGGTAATATTTTTTATTTGAGCAACTTCTGTTGGCCCGAGAGACAAGCTTTCAAGATTATACAAAGCTCAGATCTGGCAAGGATATAGATATTAGTTTGCACTGGTTGAAAATTTTAGAACAAAAAAATTGTCCCGTGGGGAAATGGGTTTTAACTGAAATCAAAGGATAGATTTTGGTAGAATTTCCTGTTGAGAAAATCTAAATGAAATGCTAACCAGAGGGGATGGGTTACTTTGCCTTTTAATAACGAGTTTTTCGAGATGTGCTGTCCATATGCATAATAGTGCACTTCAGGTTGTGCATGTGCTCCATGTATCCAGAGCCAGAAATTTTTCCTCTAGCAGTGTTCATCTGGGCCACGCATGGTCTCCCCACACTCCACACCAAGGAGATAAAGGGGGCTGACAGACCGCTGCCATCTTAGTTCCCTCTCTACCACCAGTTCCAGGTAGAGGTTGACCAGGCAGTGGAGAAAGAGGGTGGGTAGTGCACTGCAAATGTCAAAGAACTCAAGCTGCTGCAAGGTGAGTAACCTTCAAGTGATTGTTCCTATGTGCAGTGCACAAAGAGTCTCTCTTTCAAGGAGGTGGGTGCCTGAAATCTTATGACACAACAGATTGCAGACTCAACTGCCCTGCCCAAAGTAGTATCAGAAACTGCTGCTTCCACCAGTGCATATTGTCTAGCAAAGGTGTGACCAGAACTCCAAGCTGCTGCTGTGTAGATGTCAGTAGTAGGGACATCTCTAAGGTAAACTACCCATGCTGCCTGAGCTCTTGTCGAATGTGCTCTCACATTGCTTTTGAGGGGGGATATTGTTCATCTCATAGCAGAGTAGGATGCATCCTGAGATCCACTATGACAGCCTCAGGGAGAAAATGGCCTCTTTTCATTTGTTCCACCAATGATACAGAGAGCCTAGGAGACTTTTGAAATGATTTTGTCCTTTGGAGGTAAAAGGCAAGAGTTCTAGGCATGTCCGTTGAGAGCCACACCACTTCTTCCCTGATAAAGTGAGGTTTAGGGTAAAACACCAGTAGGTGGATACTTTGGTTAAGATGAAAGTCCACCACCACCGCCTTCAGAAAGAACTTTGGATGCAGTCAGGGCCGGCTCTGGCTTTTTTGCTGCCCCAGGCAAAAAAGCCTCCCGCCGCGCCCCCCCCCCAGGGGAGGGCGGCGAGCCCCACCGGGGAGAGCGGAGCCCCGGCGGCCAGAGCGCCGGGGGGAGGGCGGCGAGCCCCACCGGGGCTCCGCTCTCCCCGGGGGCCAGAGGCTGCGCCGGTGGGAGGGCGGAGAGCCCAGCCGGGGCTCCGCTCTCCCCGGCGGCCAGAGGCTGCGCCGGGGGGAGGGCGGCGAGCCCGGCCGGGGCCCCGCTCTCGGGCCGGAGCGCCGCGCCGCCCCCCTCCAGGTGCCGCCCCAAGCACCAGCTTGGTGGGCTGGTGCCTGGAGCCGGCCCTGGATGCAGTCTCATGGATACCTCATCCTTGAGAAAAACTGTATTGGGAGGGGGGGTCTGCCAGGAGCGCCCCATATTCCGTAGCTCTTCTGGCCAATGTAATAGCAACTGAAAATGCTATCTTCATAGAGAGATGTAGCAGACATGAATCTAGAGGCTTGAATGGCAATTTAGTCAGGGATGATAAAACAAAGTTAAAGTTCCAGGCTGGCACAGGTTTAGCCACTAGAGGGAAGGCCTAAATCATACTCTTCAAGAAGTGGAAAATGACGGGGTGAGAAAAAACAGAATAGGTAACTACCGGTGGATGAAAGGTGCTGATGGCTGGCAGGTGTATTCTGGGGGAACTAATAGACAGCACCATGGATTTTAAGGACAGCAGGTAATCCAATAAATTCAGACTCTTAGCCTATAAGGGGAAACTCCTCATTGGTCATACCAAAACACAAATATTTTCCACTTTGCTTCATTACATTTCTGGTAGAGTCCTTCCTACTACTGCTCAGGATTGCCCGGACATCAGCCAAATAGGCTTTTCTAACTCCAACTTCCATCCAAACACCATGCCCTCAGATGAAGCATGACTGGGTTGATGCGGTAAATCCTTCCCTAATTCTCAGTTAAAAGGTGAAATATGCTGAAGATTCCTGACATATTGTCTGACGATCTCTAGGAACCCTTCAGGGGATATTGTGGAGATGGGCATCAGTCATAGTCCTTTCCAACTCGAGGATTTGGACTGCAGATCCAGTGGAGCTCTGGGTACCGAAGGAGGCGGCCACAACCTGCCTCAGCTAGTTGATGGTAGCAGTGCAAGTCTGGCTCAACTGCTACTCAAGGTCGGGGGTGAAGAGAGATACCATAGGGAGCTCAGTACCAGCTGAAGTCCCAGTACTTGGTGCTGGGCTCTGGAAAGCTGAGGGGATTCTGGTTCCAGGAATACCAAGAGATCATCTGGAGCCAAGAAACAAGCCAAAGTCGATGAAGTCATTTCTGTAACCCAAGTCACTGAGGCAGATGGCACCAGCAGCGCTGATTTTGTAGATTTTGGTGCCCAAGTTCCAACGCTGGTACTGGAAGGAGCTGAAGTCTTCCCTTCAAAGAAATCCCAGTACGGTCCTTCCCAGTACCAGACCGTCCCGCTCTGGAGCATGAAGCTCCAATTACTTGGTTTGGAATGTGGAGTTCTGCCTCTTCTCAGAGGGCTTGGAAGGGGATCCTTCCCTCTTGCTGTTGGGGAAGCCCCTATGTTTTTCCCTCCCATTTGTCTGTCCTGGCTCTGCTCTCCAGAGTCTGTCTGAGCCAAAAGAGGGGTGGAAGTCTTGGAACCACCCAGGACTGAAGAAGTGGGGCCTCTCCTACCTTCTTCAGGTCAATATACAGGCAATCTGTACGGTCAGAGGCTGTTCTCACCTCCAGGAGGAATCTTTAGAGTTTAGTCCTACTTGGGAACAACCTGGAGGTACTGTACCTGGATGGGATATGCGCTTCCTCCAGGCAGTAGAGACAGGTGTTGTGATGGTTTGTGACTTGGAAGGGCTTGTGGCACATATCGTAGTTTTAAAGCCAGGGATCTTTGGCATACTGCCCTGCAATCTGGTTCTCTTTGGATTGGGGGTGTGGGGGAGAGATACATCCTGGCTGGGGGGTTCCAAACTAGGGAACCAACGCCCCTAAAACTATCCTAAGTAACTATATTAAAGAGCAAACTAAACAGACTTTTTTTGAAGAAACTATTTACAGAGAGAACCTGAAGAAGTCAGCATGGACACAAACTCCATCTCAGATCACAAGAGGTGAGAAGGAACTAAGATGGCAGTACTCCAGCAGCCCCCTTTGTCCCTACATTGTAGAGCAGGAGGAGAGTGGGGGTGCATGTGTAGACCAGATGAATATGTCCAGTTCTGGGTGCTTGGAGCACATGCACAACCTGAAATGCACTACACAGAAAAATCACTCAAGCAGAACAAAGTGTTTCATTTCGGGTCAACATTAACTTTACCATCTGCCTTAGGCCTGGTCTACACTAAAAATTTAGATCAACAAAGCTACGTCACTCGGGTGTGAATCACAATGCTAAGTACTGCAGCTGTGTTGATCTAACCCCTGGTATAGACACAGCTAGGTCAATGGAAGAATGTTGACGTTGACCTAGTTACTGTCACTCAGAGAGGTGCAGTTCCTACAGTGACGAGGTATGCCATTGTAGCCCCCAATAGTGTAGACAAGTCCTTAGCAACTGTGTTGCTTCACTGTACTTGTAGTTCTAGGTCCCTCAACCCCCATTCTCCTCTCTGGGCCCCCTGGTTAGGCTACATCTTCTGTGATGCACCAGTTCCCCTCTGTAGCTTAGCTGCTGCAATGCATCCCACAATGCTCAGCCACAGGGGAGAGACCATGGTGCATCTTGGAAGATGAAGTCAGGCTCCTAGACTTGTAGATCACTACTACAAGTGATACCTCTAGATCAGGGTTGAGATACTAGGTATAAAACTGATGTAAGTTAGAGGACGATCAATCCCTCTGTGCTTTATTTCCGTCTTTATGGATAGGGGTCAGTACAGGTCTGTCGCATCTTACGCGCATTTAACATGCGCGATTTCAACTTTACGCGGTCGGCAAAAACAAAAAACAAAAAGAGAAAAACAACAGTTTTAATACTATACCTGTAGTGCGGGCGATTTCGCACGCCATTGAACTCAGTGGGGTTTTGGCTATACGCGGTTTTCGCTTTACGCGCTTACCGCGGAACGGAACCCCCGCGTAAGATGAGACAGACCTGTATTCTGCTGGAACTGAATGATTTTATAGACATAGTTCTCTTGTGATTACAGCATATAAATGGTTTTACCTGAAAAAACAGGATTATATTCCATATTAGTCCAAGTACCAGAGAAGAGTTTCCATCCACTATTTCTGCTGCATCAATGCTAACCAGTTTTACCTATAGAAAAGTAGGTTATAAGCTTAAGGGGATCTGTATATACGGATTACATAAGAAACACAGTTTAAATGTAGAAAATGCATCAGCTCAAACCCAGACATAGGACAGTCACAGAACCCTTCTACAACCCACGAAAGAGTCAGTTCTTGGAATGAGCTAACAAAAAATTGTCCTTGACTAGGTAACTTTTTTTTTTTTTTTTTTAAAAACCAGTCCATAAAGGCATCAGAAACTGCACACAGTCTCCAGAGCTGTTCTGGACACTCTTCAGAGCTGTCTATCCTAAAGTCATTACAAGGAAAATGACTGCAAAAGTTAGACATCAGAAGGAATATATATTTACTGGCCTACTCTTTTCTTTAAAGACCACTTGGGCTACCAGATTTCTCTCATCTGCAGGGAAGATGCTGTTTTTATACACTCCCTATTTCCCAGCAAGCTTTACCAGGAATTAGGGTTATACATATGGCTGCTCGGAGGGACTACAAGTCCCAGCCCTACCCTGTTTTCATGGATCTCAGAGAGAGATGAGAGCTTGGAACTACCAAGAGTCAACCTTGTCTCTCACCATGAAGGAGATGGGTAAGTCCTAGCCCACACTGCTCATTTCCAGCCTCAGTCCCTATAGCCAAGGTCAGCAGAGCAAGTGTAAACCCAGTACCACTTCCCTGAGACGATACTTCCTCCCCATCAGTGTCAGCATCTCCTTCCCTCTCATACTGGTATTTCTTCAATACAAACTTGGAACAGGCTTGTTCTGGCTCAGAAGGATTCCACTTGTAAGCCTCAAAGGGTCTGCAGACCTCATTACACTTTCTATACTTATAGTGAGGAATGAGACCACTTCAAAATTCAGACAGTTTGGATTAAATACAGTATAAACTCAAGGGAAGGGTAATGTGATCTGAAATCACTTTCTGTGCAAAGGAAAATAAAGCTTCCCAAGACTTCACTTTTCTTTTTAACATGCATCTCCCTTCCCCACACTTTACCTTATGGCTTCTTAAAGAGTTTATCGCTGATCTCTGACAAGATCAATTAGAATAATTGCTGGGTTTGCCTAATCCTAGCAGATCCCAAAGTTCCCACATTGTGGTTTCTTTCACATAACAACACCACAATATTATTCATTTAGACAACGCTGCCTTGTTGTTGGCAAAGTAGCAGAGCAGGAAGCAAGGAAGTTGTCAATATTGCAAATGACCTTCCAATTGAGTTAAAGCCCAGTATATAGTCTGTATTTATCACTCAGAAATGTCATTCATGTGAATCACTTTATCCCACTACCCTATAGAACTGCAGACTGTGACAGGTTCCACCCCATTTGTGGTTTAATAAATAAACTTCTAGCTCCATATAGCCAAGGCATTTTGCCAACATTTTCATCACCACCCTTCACTCCCAGTTTGGTTTAAACTGAAATAAGATTAAAATAGCATTGTAACCTGTGTTTTACAGAATAGTTTGCTATCCCAGTAAGAGGACTTCTCTAGCTGTCATACTTCAAGATTCAAATTTTCTTTCAAAATAGATGGCATGGGACAATTTTTTAGCCTATTGCATTTTTTAAAATGCCAGTTTGTCTAAGGTGGGAGCGCTCAGCTGGAGGTTACTGTTGGACTGCTTCCAATATCAGCTGTTGTCTATCACTGCTGCTTACCTTTGTCAACCCATCCCTGTACAGATGACATTCAGTTGTAAGGTTTTAGCCGCCTACGCTCTTATGGAAACAATCAACATAGATTTGACTGTCAAATTGGCACTCAGTTAAAAGGCTGATTGTGCCTTAGGAAAGCTCTACCCACTCTGTTCTGCCTTTAGAATCTGTAAGTGGGTTACAGACTATGACATAGAAGGGCCCTTAGCAACAGGGTGAGTGTAGACTGTGATGACAGCAGCATATGTAGAATTTAGTGCTATCAATGGGTGGAGCAACATGGGAAGAGAGGTGTTTTCAGTCTGCCTCTGGGTGTTGACTGGCTTTGTGACTGAATTGTCAGCCAGGATGGGCTTACTTGTGTATTTATTGCAAAGCTGGAGGGGATGACTTCACAAAGATGGGTCATCTCCCCCCAGTCAGCCCTCTCTGTATCCGCAAAGCTTAACCCTGCAGAGAGGCCACCGAGGAGCTGCCATGGGGTCAGTGACAAAGGAGTATACTGTAGAAGCAGTGTTTTCTCCCACAGCCCAGATCTCTCCATTCATGGAAGTGGAGGAGATGGTCTGCAGATCCAGCAGTCCTTACTGAGGCAAAATACTCATGGGCAACAAATCGCACTAAAGAAATAGGATTTTGCCTTAATAAGGACTAAGGACTGCATGATTTGGCCTTTCTCTTTCTTAATCTAGTCACATTCTGTGGTCTGCATAACGTACATTAAACACAGAAGAATTAGGGCACTGAATTTACTGTTTAAAAACGGTATTTGTTTTAAGAAACCTGCTGTACAGGCTTCTATTATCTCACTCTTCTTGTATACACATGGATTGTCAAGAGCTCTTTAACACTATGGGGTAATCCTCTGTGTTCCACCACTTAATAGGAGGCCACATAACTCCATATTAATTTGTCTCATCTCATGCCTACTACTCTGTGCATATAGCCACTGGAAGAGAGTAACACGGGAGACAGTGTAACAAGGCAATTTCTGTTTAATTTTTTTTTTTAATGAAATCCATTGCACATGCTACTAATGTGTTGTTTTTAAATATACAGAGCCTGGTTATGGTGTCAGTTAGACTGCTCTAAATCTGGAGTAGAATATATTTTTGAAATCAATGGGGTTACACCAGCATAGATGACAGCAAAATTTGGCCCAATATTCAGGAGTGGGAGGTCTAGGGAAATGGCTCCTGGGCAGCAGTGGAATGGAACAGAAGAGACACAGTATCTGGGAAGGCAGAAGCACAGAACAGCAAGGAGAGTTAGGTTGGTGGTAGGATCGTAGACAAGTAGCAGCTGGCTTCCAGCATAAAGTTAGCAGCTTTAGCTGTGCTAGACAGCTAGCACAGGGGTGGAGCTGTACAATGGCCAATAGGTGCGGCATTTGAGGAGCTGCAGATTTAGCTGAGTTGAAGAAAGAAAGGGCTGCAGTATGATGAGAATGCTGCCACCCTTCCATCTCACTATGAGACACTTTAAAGGGAGTCTCACTATTATAGGGTTAATTTACCTATTAAAAAGAGTTGGGATATGTGATATACAGGAATCATGACAGAGAAAGTGTAGCATGGGACTTGGATGTTTCCACCATCACTTCCAATATCTCTCTGCCATGTTGTATCTTATAAGCAGTAGAGAATATTTTCATAAAACATCCATAACACCTGAACGTAAAAAAAATCTGGAGGAAAAAATCAATATGGATTATTTCATTTTAAAATACTGGGCCAATGGTGTAAATTAGTAGCTCCACTTAAATCAGTGACATTGCACTAGTGTAAAAGTGGCACGAGAAGGAAGTCCGCTCTTATACTGTTTTGATTGCAAAAGTTATATATTTATTTATTATCTAATTTTTCCAGATTTAATCTTCTCCTGCCTTGGACTCATGATCAGCTGCTGCTGCAATTTAGTAGAGAAATGCAGAATTTATGATACTTAAAATACTTTTAATCAAAGGAAAAAAGAAAGAAGTCAATTATTACCTTCAAAGTAACTGAAATCAAGGCACTTAGAATCAATTCAGTAAAGATTACTTGAATTTCTAGTTATTTTCTTTTAATATTGGTCTCCTGATCCTTTAATCCTGTTGAACTTTTACATTATAAAATGAAAACATAATCCTTGTTTTTTTAGACTCTGTAGGTGTTCTTCTACATTTTGTGTGGTATTTTAGCCTTGCTGTTAAACAAGGCACAACTTTTTTCAATCAGTGCACTCCTCTTATGGGCATGCTGCGTAGAAAATTAGGTGCAATTATATTTGCAACAGATACTGAGGAAAGTACGAAATTGAGACCGAGCTTTGGAAATACTTACATTACTATCCTCCAAAAACTTCAGTGCTTTAGCTATGTTGTTCAACCGAAAAATACGATGGGTTGAGGACTTATATTCATGCAGCTAGAAAACAGAAATATGTATTGTTTTAAAATGCAGACTAGTGATGAACACTTTGGATTATTTAAGTGATTTGTTTAACATGAAGAAAAAAAGCACACAGCTGATCACAATGGTTCCTTCTGGTCTCAGAATCTAAGAATCTCTAAGACATTGTGCATGCGTAAAAAACAAACACCACCCCCAACCCTCCCCCTCATCCCCACTGTCTTCACTTCAGTGGCTAGCAAAGTGATAGAAGCAGTCATGAAAAAGGGCCAGTGCATAGCTTAGTGAGTTAATCATTTAGGCTTTGTCTGCACCAGTGTTTCTCCATGACTGGTTAGTGGACTAGCGCCAGTCCCTGCTATCTCCCTGACACAGTTTAGGAAGCAGGGCCAGCTCCAGGCACCAGCCCAGCAAGCAGGTGCTTGGGGCAGCCCACGGAGAGGGGCGGCACGTCCAGCTGTTCGGCGGCAATTTGGCAGCAGGTCCCTCACTCCCTCTCGGAGCGAAGGACCAGCCGCCGAATTCTGAAGCGGCGGCGGTAGAGCTGCCACCGAAGTGCTGCAGATTGCGGCTTTTTTTTTTGCTGTTTGGGGCGGCAAAAACCCTAGAGCCGGCCCTGTTAGGAAGGCAGTAAGCCAGTCCCCGGTATCAAAAAATGTTGAGAAAAACTGGTCTACACTATATCTTTTAATCAAGTTTATAATTAGTTAGTGGCATGACCGGTTCTAAACAGGTTTTGTCCGCACATGATATGGTCAAGACTTAGTTAATAATCATCGCAACTAACAGCATTTCACCCTTGCCCGAGATCTAGGGTTTGTTTTCACTGCTAAAAAACCCCTACTTTTTACCTCAAGGTAACTAATGAGCATGAGCTAGCCCAAGGTAAAACACATGAAGACCAGCACTGTAGTTTTACCATGAGGTAAACAGCCAGGGGTTGACCTTGGCACATTTATCTCATGATAAAACTAAATGCCTTGTCTTCATTGTATTTTTACCTCAGGATAGCTCAAGCACATCAGTTACCACAAGGTAAAAAACGCACCTTTCTTAGCAGTGAAGTGTGAAGACAAGCCACTAGCTGCCCCATGGCCTTGTAACTCCAGTTTGGTGTACTGTTTTTTGTTATGTGGCTAGACTTCTGCCTGTGTAACCAGTTTGGCCAATTCTCTTTCCTCCAGGCTACCTGTGCAGTAGGACGTCCCAGGATGCATTGCTACACAGGTTGCTCACGCCATTCTGTGTGCATGCTCTGAGGACCTCTATCCCCTGCTGAGTCAGCGTGAGAGAGCAGCACAGATTTCCCCAGGCTGCACTAATACATACCCAGTTAGACAGGATGATAGGTGTGGACACACAAAATTGGTGACGCACAAAAACTGCAGTGTGCAGACAACTCTCATGCTTTCTGTACCCAATTCAGATGGGAGTTTCACCAGCTGATTATGAGAACACAATTACATCTGTAATGTGGAGTGGATCGTGGGGCCAATTTCTACTCTTACTACAAAGCAGGATTACATCCACATAAGAGGGGCAAATCTGGTACTTAGCAAGTATGAACAAAAAGACCTACCAAGCAGTTAAAATGGGCAGAGGATTATCATCTGTAATTGATTGCTCATGTCTATAGCAGATGTTTCTATTTTCCAGGCACTGGGAACTTTGTACACAGTTTTTCAAGGTAATAAATGCCAGCAAGGTCAAAATCTGGAAACACATAGCTCCACATACCAGAGGGATTGAACTAATCTGAACCAAGGTATCAGGACTGAAACCAAGGGCTACTTCAGAAAATAAATCACATGCATTAAGCCACAGATCTTTTGGTTTAGTGAAATCTACCAAAAAATAAAACTATAATTTATAAATAAAAAATACAGCTCTACCAAAAATACTTTGCCCCTTCCACAGCACCCTCCATTTGAAGAAGATCTCAAGGCACTGAACAAACATTAATAAAAACTTGACAAAACTCCTGTGAGGTAAAGGAGTTTATGCTGGTCCCTCACCAGTGTAAGGTCCCGTAAGGACCACATGACAGTGTGGGTAAGTTAGACCACAGGAGGCCAACCCACAGATAAGGGAACTGTACTGGGCTCACTGATGTGACCCTCTCCCCCACTCTGCTGTGCGTGGGAGAATCTGGCCTATTACACGTTCACACATGTACCCACACAAGGATAATTCCATACTACGTACAGGTTTTTCATCCTTGTATACATACCAGATTTTGCCCCGACAGGACCTCCAGCAAAGCCATCAAGATTTTCCCATCTTGAATATCAAGAAACAAATCTTTCACTTCCAGAGGAGGATTGCACTGTGAGGAAAGGAAGCAGTGTTATCTGTATAGTGCTGGATAATCTTTTAAAAGCAGGACTTGGTAAATCATCATTATTTTTGAAGGAAATATGTGGAACTTTACAAAACAGGGATGCTTCTTCTTCTTTACTATTTGTATTACTGTAGCACGAGAAGGCTTCTTATAGAATCACAGAATCGTAGGACTGGAAGGAACCTCGAGAGGTCATCTAAGTCCAGTCCCCTGCACTCAAGGCAGAACTAGGTATTATCTAGACCATCCAAGAGAAGTGTTTGTCTAACCTGCCCTTAAAAATCTCCAATGACCTCTCTAGGCAATTCATTCCAGGTGCTTAACTACCCTGACAGGAAGTTTTTCCTAATGCCCAGTCTAAACAGCCCTCGCTGCAATTTAAGCCCATTGCTTCTTGTCCTATCCTCAGAGATTAAGAAGAACAATTTTTCTCCCTCCTCGTTGTAAGAGCCTTTTATGTACTTGAAAACTGTTACCATGTCTCAGTCTTCTCGTCTCCAGACTAAACAAACCCAATTTTTTCAATCTTCCCTCACAGGTCATGTTTTCTAGACCTTTAATCATTTTTGTTGCTCTTCTCTGGACTTTCTCCAATTTGTCCACATCTTTCCTGAAATGTGGCGCCCAGAACTGAACACAATATTCCAGTTGAGACCTAATCAGTGCAGAGTAGAGCAGAAGAATTACTTCTTGTGTCTTATTTACAACACTCCTGTTAATACATCCCAGAATGATGTCTGCTTTTTCTGCAACAGTGTTACACTGCTGACTCATATTTAGCTTGTGATCCACTATGACCCCCAGATCCCTTTCCGCATTACTCCTTCCTAGGCAGTCATTTCCCATTTTGTATGTGTGCAACTGATTGTTCCTTCCTAAGTGGAGTGCTTTGCATTTGCCCTTATTGAATTTCATCCTATTTACTTCGGACCATTTCTCCAGTTTGTCCAGATCATTTTGAATTTTAATCCGGTCCTCCAAAGCACTTGCAACCACTCCCAGCTTGGTATTGTCCGCAAACTTATAAATATAATATGTTTATATCTACTGTGGGCTCTATTCTGAAGTTCTTCCTCCGCTTCTCAGTCAAAACTCTTATTAGCATGTATGGAAGTTTTGCCCAAGTAAGGACTGAGCTAAAACTGAGGGCCAGATTCTGATCTCATTACACCAGTATGTTGGAGTCAATAGAGTTATTTCAGATTTACATCAGTGTAACAGAGACCAGACTCTAGCCATATAGACTTCTGGGCTAGGCCCTATGTAAGTACTGGATAGGCCAAGGGCCAGATTCTGATCTCTTACGCCAGTGTCACTCTAATAGACATCAGTGCTGTTACTCCTGCTTTACATTGGGATAAAGAAGATTATAGTCCAGGTCAATGACAGTATTCGGTTGTTTATGCTGTAAAGTTTTCCTTGGTGCCATTATACTTCCAAGTATACTGAATATATTTAAAATGACATGGCAACTTCATATATAGCAGCTCTCCTTTTCCTGCAAAGCCCTCCGAAGGGAACCATCTCCTCCACCCACATCGGTGTCTCATGATGCGTGCACTGTGAGGCACACGGCCAAATCTGCTCACTCCTCCAGAGTCAGTCCCAGCTGCAGAAATTACCTTCCATTTGGGCGTCACTTGCTCATTCATCCCTAAGGAGACACTTCTTTACTTCTTTGGTTGGACTGCATACTACTGTTTGATTAAGCACAACTTCTGGCAATTTGGAACTGGGCCTTTTTGTAAATAATCTTCCTCCCATGCAGCCAAAAAATATTATTCAACGCTACCCATGGGTCTGAGAAAGATATTAGTTTCTAAAGCAATAACCCACTTTGAACCAAAAACTTCTTTTATAACTTCCAACACCAGAAGGACCGAAACCTGCAATGTGCGGAGCATCCACAACTCCTTCATTACGGGGGTTGTGAGTAACCAGCTGTTCCCAAAACCAGGCACATACCAAGGGGAGCAGTGGGGGGCAAAACATTTAACTCACTTCAAGACTGATCTTGCTAAGTTTATGGAGGGGATGGTACGATGAGACTGCTTACAGTGGCATATAGCCGATCTGCAACTGATAGCAGTGAATATCTCCAACGGCCAGTGATGGGACACTAGATGGGAAGGGCTTTGAGTTACTACAGAGAATTCTTTCCCAGGTGACTAGCTGGTGGGTCTTGCCCACATGCTGAGGGTCTAACTGATCGCCATAGTTGGGGTTGGGAAGGAATTTTTCCCTGTGTCAGATTGACAGAGGAGACCTTGGGGAATTTTTGCCTTCCTCTGCAACACTGGGCATAGGTCACTTGCAGGTTTAAACTAGCATAAATGGTGGATTCTCTGTAACTTTAAGTCTTTAAACCATGATTTGAGGACTTCAGTAACTCAGCCAGAGGTTAGGGGTCTATTACAGGAGTGGGTGGGTGAGGTTCTGTGGCCTGCAATTTGCAGGAGGTCAGACAAGATGATCATGATGGTCCCTTCTGACCTTAAAGTCTATGAATCTGCACTGTGGAAAATAAGGACACACCAAGTCACAGAAGACACTTGAAAGAAGTTTTTCGTATCTGTAAAGGCAAAGCAACAAAATACCCATCCTTTAGTCGTATCCCCAGTTTCAGGAAATCTCACCATCATCATGAAGTGTTCTGGCAATGCTCTCGTTCAGTTCAATATATGTTTACTTTGACAGTTTCAGCAAACCTAGCATCATCAACAGCAGACATTGGCTGTTGTCAAAGAGCATTTTGCTTTGTTGCAGCCGGGGAGAAAAAAAAATGGTAAGTAATCCAGAGAAAACACTCCACTTGCCCATAACGTTCCTAAGACTTCATGTGCTTGGTATGGCAGAATTAACAGCACCCTGCAGCCTTTTCATGATCTAATTCCTTTTGTAAATTAAAGAACTTTTTCAGAAGCCAGATGCTCAGCAAGCATTTCTGACAGCCTTCAAATTGCAGTTAGTTTAAAATCCTAAAGTCTAATTCACAAAGGAATTACACATTTTCTATTTATAATGTGGATTGTTCCCAAAGATCTTTCGGTCAAAACATCACTGCTAATCTTATTCTGTATTTCCAATGAGATTTAAGAAGATCCTTTCATCTCTTCAGTAACAAACTGTAGAACTCTTAAGAAATAATATATTTAGTGACTTTTATCTGAAAACTCTTTACAAATCACATACCTACACCACCACTGAAATGCAGCCACCTCTGTCAGGAATTGTGGCAACTAGACCAAAAACTGCACAAAAATACAGCACATGCAGCACAATCCCGCACTTCCTGAAGCTTGGCCATTGATTCCAATGGGAGTAGGATTAGTCACCTCAGACAGAAGACTCTTCAGGGCAGAGACTTAGGCCTGGTCTACACTACGAGTTTAGGTCAACTTTAGCAGCGTTAAATCGAATTAAGCCTGGACACGCCCACACGATGAAGCCCTTTTTTTCGACTTAAAGGGCCCTTTAAACCGGTTTCTTTACTCCACCTCCGACGAGGGGATTAGCGCTAAAATCGGCCTTTGCGGGTCGGATTTGGGGTAGTGTGGACGGAATTCAACGTTATTGGCCTCCGGGAGCTATCCCACAGTGCTTCATTGTGACTGCTCTGGACAGCGCTCTCAACTCAGATGCACTGACCAGGTAGACAGGAAAAGCCCCACGAACTTTTGAATTTCATTTCCTGTTTGCCCAGCGTGGAGAGCACAGGTGATCATGCAGAGCTCATCAGCACAGGTAACCATGATGGAGTCCCAGGATCGCAAAAGAGCTCCAGCATGGACCGAACGGGAGGTACGGGATCTGCTCGCCATATGGGGAGACGAAACAGTGCTAGCTGAACTCCGTAGCAGTAAACGAAATGGCAAAATATTAGAAAAAAAGTCTCAAAGGCCATGAAGGACAGAGGCCATAACATGGATGCACAGCAGTGCCGCGTGAAAATTAAGGCGCTAAGGCAAGCCTACCACAAAGCCAGAGAGGCAAACGGAAGGTCTGGGGCAGAGCCGCAAACATGCCGCTTCTACGCGGAGCTGCATGCCATCCTAGGGGGTGCAGCCACCACTACCCCAACCGTGTGCTTTGACTCCATCAATGGAGAATCACGCAACAGGGAAGCGGGTTCGGGGTACGCGGAAGATGATGATGAAGATGAAGACAATGAAGATATCTCACAGCAGGGAAGCGGAGAAACCGGTTTCCCCAACAGCCAGGATATGTTTATCACCCTGGACCTGGAACCAGTAACCCCCGAACTCACCCAAGGCGTGCTCCCAGACCCTGAGGGCACACAAGGGACCTCTGGTGAGTGTATCTTTGTAAATATTACACATGGTTTAAAAGCAAGCGTGTTTAATGATTAATTTGCCCTGGCAATCACGGCCAGTACAGCTACTGGAAAAGTCTGTTAACGTGTATGGGGATGGAGCGGACATCCTCCAGGGACATCTCCAGAAAGCTCTCCTTCATGTACTCCCAAAGCCTTTGCAAAAGGTTTCTGGGGAGGGCTGCCTTATCCCGTCCGCCATGGTAGGACACTTTACCACGCCAGGCCAGTAGCACGTAGACTGGAATCATTGCATAACAAAGCATGGTAGCGTATGGTCCCGGTGTTTGCTGGCATGCAGACAACATCCATTCCTTATCTCTCTTTGTTATCCTCAGGAGAGTGATATCATTCACGGTCACCTGGTTGAAATGGGGTGATTTTATTAAGGGGACATTCAGAGGTGCCCGTTCCTGCTCGGCTGAACAGAAATGTTCCTCGCTGTTAGCCACGTGGTGGGGGGGAGGGGTGAAGTGATCATCCCAGAGAATTGGGTGTGTGTGTGGGGGGGTAGTTGGGTTTGTGCTGCATGTTAACCCGGAAACCGCAGCCCCTCCTTTTACATTGCAAACCCATTTTAAATGGCGAACCCAACGGGTCCTTGGTATGGGAAATGAGGGCGCTGCTGTTTGAAACCATTCCCACGTTATGAAAGTTAAAAAAGCCAAAAGACTGTGGCTTACCATGGCTGCCTGCAAGCCGAATTCTGTTGCCTGGCACTGCGTGAGTGATCTCTCACTCCAAACCGGCAAGCCCTCAATATAAGGAAAAATGCGACCTTGTAACGAAAGCACATGTGCTGTGTAATGTGAACAGCAAAATTTAATGTGACAGAGTGTACCCATTGTTCTCTAAAATGTGTCTTTTTTAACCACCTCTCCCTTCTCCTCCACCAGCTGCAAATGTTTCTCCTTCGCAGAGGCTAGTGAAGATTAGAAGGAGAAAACGGCGGACTCGGGATGATATGTTCTCGGAGCTCCAGATGTCCTCCCATGCTGACAGAGCACAGCAGAATGCATGGAGGCAGTCAATGTCAGAGTGCAAAAAAGCACAATATGAACGAGAGGAGAGGTGGCGGGTTGAAGAGAGCAAGTGGCGGGCTGAAGAGGATAGGTGGCGTCAGCTTGCTGACAGAAGGCAAGAGTCGATGCTCCGGCTGCTGGAGCATCAAATTGAAATGCTCCAGCGTATGGTTGAGCTGCAGGAAAGGCAGCAGGAGCAGAGACCACCGCTACAGCCCCTGTGTAACCAACAGCCCTCCTCCCCCAGACGCCCAAGAACACGGTGGGGGGGCATCCGGCCACCCAGCCACTCCACCCCAGATGATTGCCCAAGCATCAGAAGGCTGGCCTTCAATAAGAGTTAAAGTTTTAAAGTTTTAAACTGCAGTGTGTCCTTGTCCTTCCCTCCTCCCCCACCTCACCCGGCGCTTCCCTCCTCCCCCACCCCTCCCGGGCTACCTTGGCAGTTATCCCCCTAGTTGTGTGATGAATTAATAAAGAATGCATGAATGTGAAGTAACAATGACTTTATTGCCTCTGCAAGCGGTGCTCGAAGGGGGGAGGGGAGGGTGGTTAGTTTACAGGGAAGTAGAGTGAACCGGGCGGGGGTGGGTGGCGGAGGGTTCATCAAGGAGAAACAAACAGAAGTTTCACACCGTAGCCTGGCCAGTCACAAAACTCGTTTTCAAAGCTTCTCTGATGCACACCGCGCCCTGCTGTACTCTTCTAACCGCCCTGGTGTCTGGCTGCGTGTAATCAGCGGCCAGGCGATTTGCCTCAACCCCGCCATAAATGTCTCCCCCTTACTCTCACAGATATTGTGGAGCGCACAGCAAGCAGCAATAACAATGGGGATATTGGTTTCGCTGAGGTCTATCCGAGTCAGTAAGCTGCACCAGCGTGCTTTTAAACGTCCAAATGCACATTCCACCACCATTCGGCACATGCTCAGCCTATAGTTGAACAGGTCCTGACTACTGTCCAGGCTGCCTGTGTATGGCTTCATGAGCCATGGCATTAATGGGTAGGCTGGGTCCCCAAGGATAACGATAGGCATTTCAACATCCCCAACGGTTATTTTCTGGTCCGGGAAGAAAGTCCCTTCCTCCAGCTTTCTAAACAGAGCAGAGTGCCTGAAGACGCGAGCATCATGTACCCTTCCCGGCCAGCCCACGTTGATGTCGGTGAAACGTCCCTTGTGATCCACCAGGGCTTGCAGCACCATTGAAAAGTACCCCTTGTGGTTTATGTACTCGGTGGCTTGGTGCTCCGGTGACAAGATAGGGATATGGGTTCCGTCTATCGCCCCACCACAGTTTGGGAATCCCATTGCAGCAAAGCCATCCACTATGACCTGCACGTTTCCCAGAGTCACTACCCTTGATATCAGCAGATCTTTGATTGCCCTGGCAGCCCCCACAGTAGATTTGCCCACTCCAAATTGATTCCCGACTGACCGGTAGCTGTCTGGTGTTGCAAGCTTCCACAGGGCTATCGCCACTCGCTTCTCAACTGTGAGAGCTGCTCTCATCCTGGTATTCTGGCGCTTCAGGGCAGGGGAAAGCAAGTCACAAAGTTCCATGAAAGTGCCCTTACGCATGCAAAAGTTTCGCAGCCACTGGGAATCATCCCACACCTGCAACACGATGCAGTCCCACCAGTTTGTGCTTGTTTCCCGGGCCCAGAATCGGCGTTCCACGCCATGAACCTGCCCCAGTAACACCATGATTTGCACATTGCTGGGGCCCGTACTTTGTGAGAGGTCTATGTCCATGTCAATTTCCTCATTACTCTCGTCGCCGCGCTGCAATCACTGCAATCACCTCCTCGCCTGGTTCTGGTTTTGCTTTGGCATATTCTGGCTCTGCATATACTCCAGGACAATGCGCGTGGTGTTCATAGTGCTCATAATTGCCGCGGTGATCTGAGCGGGCTCCATGATCCCAGTGCTATGGCGTCTGGGCTGAAAAAAAAGCGCGAAACTAGTGTCTGATGGAGGGCGGGAGGGTGGGGCGAGTGACGACATGGCGTACAGGTACAGGGAATTAAAATCAACAAAGGTGGCTGTGCATCAGGGAGAAACACAAACAACTGTCACACAGAATGGCCCCCCCAAAGATTGAACTCAAAACCCTGGGTTTAGCAGGCCGTTGATTTCACGGAGGAAGGGGGAAGCAAATGAATACAGAACAAATCTGGTCCATCTATTTTTACATCTTAAGCTGGCAGCAGACGGTGCAGCATGACTGATAGCCATTGGCATCTTCTGGGTGCTTGGCAGAAAATGCTGTATTACGACTGCTAGCCATCATCGTCAAGACGGTTCAATAGGACTGCCGGGTCTCCAGGAGACAAAATGAAGAATCAGATGCCCAGAATGGAAAGTTTGGTTCAGTATTTCTTAGAGGAATCTGCTGAAGAAGTTTCCCGGGTGCCTCTGATTGAACTCACTGAGGAATATGACTATGACGGATATCAATTGTAATACACCATCCACTGCCAAAAGGCAAGAAGCTGCTGCTGTGTAGCAATGCAGCTCCACGTCTGCCAGCACCCAGATAGCCAATGACGGCTACCAGTCATACTGCACCGTCTACTGCCAAAAGGCAATTAAGCTGCTGCTGTGTAGCAATGCAGTACCATGTCTGCCGGCACCCAGATGACATATGGTGATGGTGAGCTGAGCTGAGCGGGCTCCATGCTTGCCGTGGTATGTTGTCTGCACAGGTAAAAAGGCGCGAATCGATTGTCTGCCGTTGCTCTGACGGAGGGGGAGGGGCCTGACGACACGTACACAGAACCCCCTGCGACACTGTTTTTGCATCATCAGGCATTGGGATCTCAACCCAGAATTCCAATGGGCGGTGGAGACTGCGGGAACTGTGGGATAGCTACCCACAGTGCAACGCTCCGGAAGTCGACTCTAGCCTCGGTACTGTGGACGCGGTCCGCCGACTTAATGCATTTAGAGCATTTTATGTGGGGGGACACACAATCGACTGTATAAAAGCGATATCTATAAAACCGGCTTCTATAAATTCGACCTAGTTTCGTAGTGTAGACATACCCTTAGTTGTGGGTCTTGTGCTGCACTGAGCACACTATTGCCACATTAGTAATAATTTCCTTTTCTGCAACCTTCCCACATCGAGTAGCGCTTACTCCTGAGAGTAGTCTGACTCTCAATGGGACTATTCAACCAAGAAACTACTTTTCAATGTTAGTAGGAGTTGCAGAATCAGATCCAAAGCACAGTGTGCGTGTGTGTGTGTGTGTGTGTGTGGGAGGGCGGGGGGAGACACAGAGGAGATTGAGACAAATGACTCATTATGAAAAATACCATGGGGTCTTTAATATCTACAGAGCGCAGAAAAGACCTCATTTTTAAGGTCTCATCTTACCAACCCACAAATAATAAAATACAAGGAACTTAAATTATCAACCTGAGATGAAGGGTTGAGCTATGTTCCAAGGAACGCATGTATCTTAAACGTGACATTTAGAACTCTGACTTGCTAATCCAATTTGAAAAGGACACTGTCAAATTTCTATTATGTATTTCCCAATGTGATGCCCAGAGCAACCAAACCACACACATCTATTTCTCCGTTATTTCTTTAGATTTAAAAAGACAATAAAAATCTCCTACGCAGAAATTTCCATGTGCCCTAACGCTAACAATTAATTTAATCACATAATGACCACCCCGCAGCATTAAATAATCATACACATGTAACAAATAAACTCAGCCAGCCAATGAATCAAAGCAATAGAAAAGCGCCTTTCATCCACACAGGAACATGCCCTCAACCTTCCCCACAAAATAAAGAAACATTTCAACTTCACTATTTATTTTCTTTTAAAATAAGAATAATCCTGAAGTTCCAGAGTCTTTAATCTGACACTTTTTAAACGCTTTTCGCATTGTGTTGTTCTTACATATCAGTATATAGCTAGTTTCCACTTTTCCTTCACACCACAGATGTGTAATTTTAGCTTTAACTCTTCTTTTGTTGACAACCATTTTCTTTTCTGGAGAATCATTCTTTTCAGGGCTCCAGTACAGTATAACCTAAGGAACCAGTCCAGCAAAAGGAATGTAGTAGGATCAGGCCTATATTTTATATAGGCATACTGTATTCTAAAACTCTTTACAGTAACAGTATATATGAATAACACCAGAAGGTACATGAAATCAAGAAATATGCCTGGGTAAGGCAGAAGTTACGTTTTCAGCAGACTGGTGTGTGTATATATCTATCTATCTTAGTATGGAGGTATTTATGGAAGATGTATGAACAGTTTTTATTTTTACAAATGGACAAAAGTATTTGTTGGCCTTACCTTCTCCAAATGTAGATTTATCCACCTGGTAAAGGTTCTCTTCTGCACATTTTCCCTCTCCACTACAAATAAAAAAGTAGGTGATTTATTTTTCAGAAGTGGAAAAATTCACAGCAGTTTCTAATGCATTACAAAAATAATCAAACCCCATACAATAAAGAAGTTGTGTGGCCAGTGGATCACACACAGTACCGTGAGTCAGGAGACCTTGGTTTGATTCCTGGCTCTGACATGGGGTATGTCTACACTTTGAGTTGGGGGTGTAATCCAGCTCAAGGAGGCATACCTGTGCTAGCTCTGATCCAACTAGCATGCTAAAAATAGAGTGTTGCTGCAGTGGCATGAGGGTCCAGCCGCTGTGAATACATAGCCATTTGAGACGGTAGGCACGTACGTGGGAAAGCTACCCCTCTTGCCACTCAGCATGAATCCCATGGACTCAGCATGTGACCCTGGACAAACCACTTACGCCTACATTTTGAAGCATATGGGTGTAAAACCACAGAGACCCAGATTCTAGCAGCTGATTCATAAAGGTAAACCCTTCTGTGTGCACAGAGCTCTATTCCAGTTAATAGGGCTCTGCACAAGCACAGTTCCACTCACACAGATCAACTTGTGGGATAATCAGGACCCGGAAACACTCGGGATGGCATAATGCTCCAAGGTGTTTGCATGAGCATTTTGAAAAATAATAGTGCTAAACCTCTCTCTGTCTCCCCATCAATAAAAAGTGTAAAGGATAATTATATTTAGATCTATGGATGAAAAAAACACTACAGCCTATTATGATGATGTATTTTTCTATTATTGCCATGATGAGATGTTGCCTGCTGCTGGGAGTACAATGTCAGCCTAAAATGGGTGCAGTGAATATAGGCTGTCTAGACACTTTATATGAGTGACAAATGGGAGTTGGGGAAAAGGTTCAAAGATGGAGAAGATTACAGTTTCTCTCCATTTTAAGCTTTCATGCATGGGATTAAGTGAAAGACTAGCCATTGCTACTTCAGTTATGAGCTAAACTTTTAAAAATAAGAATACATGTAGTTGCTATGAACAGTGAATTTTTGGTTTTGGTAATGAAAGAATTAGAATGAAGCCTTTACCCCTTTAAAGATGCTTTAGAGACAGGCTTTTGGCTAAGATCTACTGTAGTATGAGGTTATTATCTGATATTGGGATACTAAATCCTGCATTCACTGAGAGATGTTCTTGATTACCTAACAAGTGTTTTCCATTTCTAAATACTAGAAGACTAAGTAGCCTGGATTTTATTAACTTTAAATATTTAAAACCTAAATTAACAACATGAACTAAATCTATTTCCATTAAGATAAAAGCAAATTTTAGTGGCTAAATTTAGCAGGAATAAAGATAAAGAGCCAGCTGGTGTGAATCAGCATAGCATCACTGAGCTATACTAATTGACATCAGTCGTGGGTTTGGCCAAAAACTAATAGTAGTAGTAGTAGTAGTAATAATAATAATAATAGTACCTAGGAGTCCGAGCCATGGACCAGGACTCCATTGTGCTAAGCAATGTAGAAACAGAACAAAATGATGGTCCTTGCCCCCAGGAGCTTATAATTTAAGTATAAAACAAGGGACAGCTGATGGGGGAAGTATAAAGAAACAATGAGACAATATCGGTCACCATGATAGGTATGAGTCATGATAGGCACGAATCTCATTATAAAAAGTTTGATTTACGCATCTTTTAGGGAAATGTTCCCATCTTGATTTAAGCCATTAGATAAGACTCTCATCTTCCGAACCTCTGAGCTATTGTATTTTGCATCAAAATACCAACTTCCCTCAAAGAATTTATTATTATTTATATTGTGATAACACCGACAGGCTCCAATTAGGACTAGTGCCCCATTATGCTATGTGTTGTACAAGTACTTAGGAAGACACAGTCCTCGCCACAAAAAGAGTTTACAACCTAATGTAAAAGGACTCAGCGAATGGTACATTTCCCTATTAAACAAAAGGGACAGCATAAAAAAAAAAAAGTCATATTTTTGCCTGACTTCTATTTACCTACTATTATAAAAAGTAACACCCACATTTCTTTTAACTGAAAGAGATTAAAGAGAAAATATTTTCATTTCAGGCATACAGTTATTCTCAAGTGGTTCTCAGCTTTCACTTAAATGAAGGAAATTTGACAACTTGCTAACAAAAATACCATATTAAACTAGTCATGTTGTGTTTCAACTTACTTGAAGAGCATATCACAAATATATGTAAATTATTTTGTTTCTTTAGCAATAAGAAAATAATAGCTAAGCTACCTCCTGGGTAATCATGTCCTGTAGAAGTCTGAATTGTTTTTATTGGTCAGCCTAATTATGGGTTAAGCAGTAGCTTCCATAAATCACATTTTAATATTGTGCTTTTTGATCATTTTAATTCGAGGGTCAGCAGCCTCTAATGACACATACAATTTTTTTTATTTTGATGTATAGGAATTGAGCTTTCAGTGTGAATTGTATCTGTCACTGCCAGCCATTCAAGCCTTTTAAATCAGCTTATTTCTGTAAAATCTGATTTTATGTAGGACTGAATAAAAGAAATTCATTGCCCTTTAAGTGCTTTAGAAATCACAAAAAATGCCAAACTAATTATTGCTATTGGCTTTTTTTCCCCAAAATATTTCAGAAAGTATGTGCACAGATTTCCTCACACGTGAAACTGAAAGGTCACATTTATGGCTTTAGAATATCAATAAAAAAAGTATCATCTATTACCTGCAGGTTTCAATATAAAGTATGGACAATGGCACATGCTTCCAGCGCCTCCCCCCCTTTTGACAGCCTGTAAAGCACCAGAAATGGCGTTATATATGGTCAGGAAACTGAGTCTACCCAGGCTATGTGCTGGCTGTCCTACATAGCGAGGGATGTATATCTTTTTTGGTTTAGAAAAGGACTGGAGATATCAGGAGACTAGATTAGTGTTTTTCCAATTCTAGTTAGGAAGAAAATACTGTCAGAGCAGTATTCTGGAATTTCTGCCCAAGGTGAAACCAGGTAGTCCAGAAGCATACAAAAGTCAGAGATGGGAGAAGGGAAGCTAACATTTTCTAACTCAGAAGAGGTTTCATTTCAGTCAGTTTCTATTTTATCCCAATCAGTTTGTGCATCACTGTTTCTAGGGTAAAGAAAAAATATTCTGCAGGCTGCATGTTACAAATGGGTACCTGCAAAAGTGAGCGTACAGTATGGCATACACCTAATTTAGCTATATAAATCCTGCGATGCACGCAAGGCTGGGTTGCACATATACATGCAGATGTGTGCACACAAATCCAACTTGTACATCAGATGATTTACATACTTAGGCATGCTCATGCTTTTGCCCACAACCATATGAAAATTCAGGACATAATTTCTACAGAGAATAATCACTGGGCACAAAACTGCTACGAGGAAGAACAGTGACCCTGACAGAAACACACTAATCGCCTATGTGATATTCCAGTGCTACAGCGTAGCAGTAATTGGACTGGGAAAAGAATATAACAGCTTATGCAGTCCATATGCTGATCTGGAGAATTAATGGGGGAAAGGTCCACACAGGTATTTACTGACATGTGCCTTAAGTGTTTTTCTCCTCTAGTTTTGTGGACCTCCCAGTTTTGATGCAGCCTCCCCTCTCTACAAGCCTTCTTCATTTGTGAGGGTTGTAGAGACTCAATAAACTTTATACAGTTTCCATAAATCAAATGGAACCTTTTTTCTTTGCACCTACCATTGCATAAAGGTGCAGAAAATCAGTCAAGTCTAAGATTTCTGCCCTGATGTATACAGTTTACTGAAATTGTGCTGGGTTTACTGGGCAACTAGAGAGCAATAACAGCATTATAAAAGAATAATTACACACACCATATGGCCAGCCTGCACACAAATCGAGTGCAAATGCTGGAAAGGAAGAATACCTGCTGTGAGGGCTGAATTTAGGGACATAATGTTAGATGGTAGTAAAGCTATAGCATTCTGGTTTTGGTTTAACATTTGAGTTTCAGGGGTCAAGCTCAGCTTTGACCTTATCATAAAAGACAAACAAAAATTCAAGATGTGAAACTTTGACCCTCACAAGGCAGTGACTGCTGTTTTCAGAGAGCCAAATCTTGAGTCCTTTCTCAGGTAAGACTTCTATTCAACTTAATGGGAGATGTGCCCAAGTGAGTACTCAGAGACAAATGCTGTACTCTAATACCACACTCCAGTACACAGACTTGGTGCAAATATTATGTGTAATAACTGAAAGGGAAGGAAAGTCCCTAGAGGCTACAGAGAAAACAGTGGCGTTATTGCAACCTTGGGAATTCCTCCCTGGCCTACAGCTACACCCTAGAGGATGGCAGGAATTGGATCAGAGATATTAAGTGTATGTTAATTATTAGAAAAAGTTTGTATCTCCTGCTACTCAGAGCCAGAAAACACATGCTACTATGGTGATATCTGTCAAACAGATTGCCATCTTCCTTTTGCTAACTAAACTGCATTCTGGGGTTTAAATTTTGAGTCCTATTGGGATCAATCAATGCAATTTTTCTGGTTCCCCTTGTCTGCTAATGGCACTATCCCCATCCCCATCCCCATCTTCTCCATCAAGGATTCCAGCCTTGAATCTATTCCTGTACTAATCTTTGAGGCCACTACTTTCTCCTCCTTCAAATCCCTCTTCAGGACCTACCTCTGCTGTGATGCCTACAAGAAATTCACCCACTAATGGTGGTGACATTGAGTGGCAATTGGAGATAGCAGTTTTTGATTTGTTTTAAAGTCCTCTTTCTTCTGTTGTGGTAAAGCCAGCTGTAAACAGCCCTTTGGTATATGGTATCAATGGGCTGGGCACATTGATGAGTTGTGAAACATGGAGAAATACTGGACCCTCTGATTTGAGAGCTAAAAGCTTTTAGATGTAATTAGAAATCATATTATTCTATAAGACTAATTACATGTCCAATTGTAAATTAGGAAGCCCATAGGGCCAAGAGAGAAAGTCACTAAGAACAGGACTGATGGCACCAAGCAGCCATCAGGTCACA